TACATATACATATATATAATATAGACATATATATATGTATATGTATACATACATACATACATACATACATATATATATATATATATATATATATATGTGGTATATACTGCTAAACTGAGGTCTGCGAAAATGAGTTGAGTACACGCACATCATGGTCAGTACAAAAAACGAAGTCAAATAGTGCGATATTCACACGTGCACACTATAGCTACTCAGTAGGGATAAGAGAAAAACGTAACCCAATGACTAAATCAGCCTACAATATACCTTTCGAATATACCGACAGATACAGAACATGCACATCTACGCGTAAGTCGACGCAAAAGGTTGAGCACACACATCGCGAGGAGCATAGTTGGTATGCATATTCACAGCCGTTGTCTTACCCTTTATCCGGTCGGCTATCTTCATAGATGGTGTTAGCTAGGACCACCGTGTACTTGTTCCCAATTTCTACCGGATAAAGCCACGTGTTTATATCTACCTTCATCTCCAAATCGTAATTCTCACTTTCGCACGTCAGTCTGGATACTGTAATTTCATGAACGGTTTGGATGAATCAGTAGTGTATTTGATTACTGGCACGCGCATACTGCGTTGTAGTTGCACGCGACTAAGCGCAAACGAACACGCAGTGATCTGATACGTATATAAAAATATATGTGGCTTGATAGCTGTAGAAAACGGACATGTGGATGTACATGTGGTTGTTTGTTTAGGCATCGCTTCTCAAACAACTTTGCACGAATATAGCTTCGTGTATGATTCATGCACAGGCCAGAGTGTGGGTATGCTCGACTGCAAATGAATATTAGAATAGAATTCATGATCATTTGGAAGGACTGAGCGTAAGTATGGATCGATAGATGAAGACGGGCCACCTCAATGTGAATGTACCGTATAATGTACCATACATGTCAGTACAGGTCTATGAAGAAATTCACCTGACGTATCGCGTTCGATCAGATTCTCGTATGATGCATAGCTAATACACATGCAAACAAACAATCTCCAGATAAAGATAAACGCAACCCAAAGTTATGTTATTTATAAGAGTATACACTTTG